TCCAACCGACCTTTTTGGAGAGGGCATGAACCGCCATTGACAAAAATGCAACCCCTGACCCCTTAGAAAAATGGCGTCCACAGTATTTTTGCGTAGAATTCCTTTCTGCGTAGAGGGCCTTCGGCCGCGCTTAGGGATTATAACCCTTACTACGTAGAATTCTGCTTTCTGTGTGACCTAACTGGGGCTACCCCCCAGTGATGTAGCCTTGGGAAAGGATGAGGTAACTAGAATTCCCTTTCTGTGTGAAAAACCTGGGGCTGCCGCCCCAGTGATGTTTATTTTGGTTACTAGGTGTTTTATAAAACTGTTTTATATAAAAATGTATATATAGAAATGTATTGTGTAAATGAATATTTAACATTTTTCAACCGAATAAACGCAAAGGAAAATTGTAATTTTTGGCAATTTTTCTAAGGGGTCCCTAGGGAACTATAGGGGACCTATGTAGATGGTCGAAGGTTGGCGGTTCATTCCCTCTCCAAAAAAGGGGGTAGAAGTGCCACACCCACTTACCTTTCGCCCACCGCCCCTTTAACGAACGGCCATAAAGGAAAGCCAACCCTTTCTGTAAGTTTATACAAATTATGAGAGATCAGGGCACAATACGTTCTGTCGGTGCAATGAGATGTATGTATGTATGTGGGTATAATTTGTTACAACTGCGGTCTTGTACTTAGTGGTCGGCAATAATCGCACACATTGGCCTCATTTCGTACATTTTGCATGATTCTTAGGACCAGTTTGGGTTGGCTTTTCTATATGAGCGATGGTTAAAGAAACGGTGGCCTAAGGGGGAGGGGCGTGGCACCTCCTACTACCATTTTAGAGAGCATAGACCACCATTAACAAAAATTGAACCGCCTAGGCACCCTATGGGACTATAGGGAGTCCTTAGAAAAATTGACAAAAATCATAAATTCAATTGCGGTTGTCGCTTAAAAAAGGTTGAATATTCATTTCCGCAAGAAATTTTGGCATAAATGCAGTTTGGCTCCAAATCTCAAATTAAAAAAGAAAAAGTATCGGGATCAATAGAGATGATTGGGGTGAGTTTAACGGTATAACCGGGAAACAACAACAACAAGAATTATCAAAGGCTAAAGTTTAAAATTAGCTATTTTTGAAATCAAGATTTCTTAAAAACAAATGGATGGATTTTGAATTTTTTTTTATAGGAAATTTGATTCCCTTTAATTTGGTATACGTACTTTATATATACATACATATGTTGTAGAGTTCTTACAAAAATTGAATTAATGTAAAATAATTATAAGAAAAAGTTTACAAACCCTAACTGCGGCCGACGCCGGTTACACAGAAAGGTGTTCTCTGCAAGGGGTGTTCAGTGCCTTTTTTTCGCAACACAGAAAGGGACCTCAACTCTGTGGGAGTTACAATCCCTAAGTGCGGCCGAAGGCCGCCTACGCAGAAGGGTGTTCTCTGCAAAAGGTGTTCAGTGCCTTTTCTTCGCAACACAGAAAGAGAATTCTACTTTGTGAGGGTTATAATCCCTAAGCGCAGCCGCCTACGCAGATGAAATTTAGTTTCTAATCTCTCTTTGACTAGAAGCCCCTAAATATTAAATATTCCCCTTTCTCCAAATATTTAGTGTGATTTTTAGGTTATTCGAAAATTTTTTTTCGCGAAATTAGGCAAAAAGATGATGAAAATCGAAAATTAAGAAAATCGAAAGTTACATATATTGCATAAAATTCTCTAAAACATGCGTATAATTTCAAGACCTGACGAACCTGATATTGATTTGCGCGTTAAAAAAAATTAGACAGTGATGAAGTACTTTCTAAACTCTCCAAATTAATTATCTCTATTAATTAGAGATTTTATTAATTCAAGAAAAAATTCTGTTCTGTTGTTTGTTGCAGTTTTACAGTCATGAAATTTTAGTACGATAAAGGGCAAGGTTGAAAGTTGTTAAATTTTCCTAGATTTTGTATAAAGTTAGAAATTTTAATTTATGTGGTTTTGGTGACAGCATGAACAATAATTTTATGGAAAACTAGCATAAAGATTTTATCTTCAAAAACATTGGAATCTTCATCAACATCATGAATTTTCATTCCGTGTGAACTCGTACACACTTCGCTTTTGCAGTTCACCTATCGTATGTTGAATATTCAGCAAGCGAAGTAGTTTACTTCGAATCATGTTCTCACCATCGTAAAAAAAATTACACTCGCACATATAAAATCGCACGAAAATTGCTAAATTTTCCGGTGAAATTTTTCACCAGAATGTGAACGCTTGTTTCAGTTTCTAGTAAGTTCTTGTACTACAAATATTAATATTGCTTACGCACCTCATTAATTCAATTCAAATACAGTTATTACCATATTTACATCAACTCATTTTTTTTTGGTTTCAATTAAAATATAGCTTAAATTCAGCCGTACAATAGCTATTTATATTTAATTTATTAAAAATAAAAATCATATTTTCGGCTCATAATTTTTTCAAAATTCAAACCTGAGAATTTCAGCGTTTATTATATAGTAAAATAAAATATCGTGGGATTGGTATCTTTCGAAAATACCAATACATGGGAGGTCTGTGTGGTTATTGTCCGATGTCAAAAAGTTGGAATGAATGATTGCATGGGGCTAACAATAATGAGTGTACAAAGTTTGGACGAAATCGGTTAGGGGGGTACACATATTTCGTTATAAGTGGGCTTGACACGTCCATTAAAAAAAAAATATTTAATACTAATTTTTTTGCTCAAAGTTCACTCTATACAATTCACCCATTTTCGTTACCACCCTAGCCTGGGCAAGGAATAACAAGTGTACCAAATTTTATTTCATTTTTATTATTTCATTTTGTTGCACTTGCACATCACGATTTCATTAAATGAAGCCGAAATTCATGGTTAACTTTCGTGTATAATTGAATTCATATAATAGAGCGCGAGGTGGGGTCTTCACTTTGTAATCATAACACATAAATTATCAGCAGCCATGATAGACGACATATTGATTTCGATTGGCTTCCCTTCCTATCTTAACTGAAGCATGGCTTTTAATTTTTATACAAGCTTGTTCTATCGAACGAATATAACTACGGACCGTCGATTATATTTCCTAATTTGCTAGCGTTTTCATATTCTGTGGGATTTATACCTACGATTTGTATATAATTTGTTGATTCATGAGTTCATGAGTGCAAAATTAAAAGAAAAAAAAATTATTTTTGAATATTTAATTTAAAATATTCTGGCCACACGCCAAATTTCATACAAATAGATTCCTATTCGGATTTTAGGGCCATTTTCTCAAGTAGGTTTTAAAATTTATCTGTCCCTTCAACACAAATTTTATTCTGAAAAGATTGTTTGAAGGGCAGATAAATCTACTTAAGAAAACGGTATTTAGACTATTAGTAACTATTATTGAAATGAATGTGACTGGTGGGACCTTTGTTCGCTCAAAAACGAATTTTAGCCAAAAAAACTTAATTTTCAATCCAGATTTTTTTTTGTGCTTTCGTCTTTATTTTAAATTAGGCTGATATAATCTTCACAGAAATATTTAAAAATATCTAAACTTGTGACTGGTGGAACAGGACTTCTGTAAAGTATTGGGGGCTATCAAAGAATCCATCGTAGTCCGATTTTTCGGGAATTCTACGAAAATGCGATCACTGAATCCGATTCTGTGATATCCCTGATTATGTATGAAGTAAAAGATTCCATAGATAAAATTAACGGATTCTTTTTATTTTTTATTTTTTAAATATTTTTCAACAGATTAATGAAATGTAGTTACTACTAACACAGGCATAATTTAGATACTTCAAAATTTCTGTCGTTTTCCTTTTTACATGGAATAACCCATAATTAAAATTTTCACCACAATAGCTGATATGAAGCAGTACACACTTTACAAAAATCTTTGATAAATTAAACTATGTATTTTTCTCTGTAACAGTTCAATTTTTAAACGGACAAGCGAAATTGTATCAATATTACTATATACATAGCAACCGTGAAGAAATACTAAAATATAAATGCTTGTATTAAATAAAGTCTTTCAATATCGTCTTTGACTTACTTTTCCCAATGTCCGAATATTGATGGTAAGAAAATGTCCAGCCACAAATGTTATTGGCTCCTGCCATAGCTGCATTGAAATGCTATGTACACATTTCATAAGGAGTGGGTTTTGGCGGTCTTTAAAAATAGTTCTGAAACTAGAGCGAAATTTCCTTTCCTAAAAATATATTGCTTATTATAAAAGTTGCATTTTTGTCCTGTGGTCCTAGGTAAGCGAAATTTAAAAAAAATTATTATTTTTTTTGATGCTGAAATGCATTTCGATGCTCTGCGAGTATTTCTGCATCAAAAATAAAACATTTCGGAAAAATGTCGCTTACATCTTTTTGGCGGTTAGGGGTCGATGTGTACGTAACTTACCGATCGTTCACATGTAGAGCAAATAAAACATGCCACCATCAAGGTAAATATTTGCATTATCCAAAAGGCGATTAAATCTTCAAAAATCAGTTGTTAAACATACAAATTTAATTGAGTTTTTAATTAAGCATACTTACAATATTTAATTACCTCCGACTTTCCAATTTCGATGTTCAAAAAGGCCCAATATGCTAAAAGTGTCAGATCAATAAGTTGCTTCGTAAATAAGCTTGGCAAACTCCACTCAAAGTAGGCCGTTAGCAGTTGAACATTTTCCCAAAGCAGAGCATGTAGGTCTTGTAGTGCTATAAAGCCCATCAAGCATTCTTGGCGTTGAACACTACTATCGAACCGAGTCGACTCTACCAGCTGGCATTGACGATTTGCTGCTCTGCACAGCTCGGAAAGCATCACCAAGAATACAATGACAAAAAGCATGTATTCAAACAATTTAACTTTCAACACAATTTCTGCGTATAAGCAAAGAAGTAAACGCATCGTGGGCACTGGCTCAAAAATCAACCAAGTCATAAAGAAAAATAACAATCCACAATAGACGGTAAAATGGATTTGCAATAGAGTAGCATAGAATTTAAGTTTGGTTATTTCGAATTGTATTGCAAATTTTTGCATTAACCATGTTCGCATTTGTTCAAATTTATTGAAGATTTTCAGATAGGCATGAAGCTTGCAAGAGCTCTCCAAATGTATGATTAATTGAGCTATTATTAATGTGGTAAAGCCAAGGCCATCCATTATCGATGAAAAAATGTCATCAAGATTGTAAATGGTTTCCTTGATGCGTTTCAAATGTTCATACACAAGGTAGGCACTAAGAGCAGCTACAGCAATAAAATGTATAACAAGTTGTGTATATTTTATACAAAACGCATCTTGTTTCCCAATAGGACCGTACAAATAAGGTACAATTCCCAATAGCATCATTAGGCGCCGAAATGGTTGCAGCGATACGCCGAAGATTGTTTTTTTAAATTTACCCATATATACATATATGTATGCATGTACATATGTACATAGGTATATGTAATATGTGGAGTGTAAAACAGCTCAACTTGACTTTTACTCAGTAACTGAGTTCATTAACTAGCCTGGATACTGTTTTAACTGCATGCATATGTACTTTTACTCACATACTTATGTACATATGTATACACATAAGTACCCAGCCAGCAAAAAAAAAACCGAAAACCGATCCGAAAAAGGACAAAAATGTGGCTGAAGTGCGGATTTTTGTCCGTTTACTGATTCCATTTCCGGATACTTTGACGATCCGTTATCCTACTAAAGTGTGCGACACAGCAGCATATATACAGACAACAGTGTGTGAAATGAATACGTTTTCGGTTTTTTTTCCTGAAAATTTTCTGATTGAATTTTTCGTTCAATACGCTTTCCTTTTGCACTTCACAGATACTTTTTCATGGCTCAAAAGAAATAAAATAAAATTAGAAAGCGCCTGACGGAATTCGGCACCATTTGGAAGCTAACAAATAGCGGCACACTTCTCTGCATGCATGCTTTCAAATGTTTAGCTTGAGCAAATAAAATACAATTATTGCTTTCAAATGACATGATCTTTTTCGAACGTTTCGAAGGAGGAAAATTGAACTAAACTGCACTGACGGCAAAATTTACGTTTCTTTGCTGGCTGGGTATATCTACATATCGTCGTTTAAAGTGCAAAACCGCGTATCACTAAAATGCAAAACCGCGTATCAGAAAAATGCAAAACCGCGTATGTGAAGTTTTCTCTCTATTTTCTAGAGTGTAAAAACACTCATATTTCAAAATGGTTCTCTTTTTTTATAAAGTAATCGCATATCTGCCTAGAATATTTCAGGATGAATGGATAATGGATTGAGCCAAGAGCTTGTGTGAGCAAATCCAATTTTTGGCAGCCAATTTGAGTTACGCGGTTTTGCAGAATCACGATACGCGATTTTGTACTTTAAACGACGATATTTATATGGATGTATGTGCGATTGTTCGCAGTAGTGTAATTTATTTCTTTAAATATCTAAATCGGCTTTTAATTTCATTAGTTAATTGCGTTTTTATTTAGCCACTCACATACTTTTATTCATTTTTATGTATGTACATATATGGACGCCTCCACACCATACCATACAACATTTATTCCACCTCATTTTTCATACAAAAAATCTTTGCGCATTTTCATATGATCATTTATTACTTCTTTATTTATTCTTCGATTTTCTTCATTATCAACTCGATTTTTTTGTAACAAAACAGGCTTGTACTAAACGAGCGCTCGACGTGAGTTAATATAAGTGACGTCCAATTTAAATATGGAAATATGGAATAGGCAAAAAATGACAAATATCTTAAAAAAGGCAAAAAAATGCATATATGGAATCAGGGAAAACTAAATCGTGGACATTCTTAATAGAATATACTCTATCTCTTCAGCAGAAAAAATGCAATTTTCATAAAATCCGTTCCCTGGTTATGACATATATGTATCTATAAGAACTCGGCCAAATTTTGGACCAATCGGACCACGCCCACCTTGACCGCCCATACAACACTATTTGTAGCTTTCTAGAATTTGGATAAAAACTGAGCAAATTATATATAAATGCTATATTTATTTCTTTTCATACACAATTTTAGCATATACAGTATTGGCCATATCTATAGCACCCCATTTAAAAGTGATATTGTTTGCCACTTATGTTTAATTATTAATTTTTAAGAATTTTCAATTAAAATACAGTTCATTCTCTAACAAAACCCATATAAACCCATATCATCGGCGGCTCGTTTGAATTAAAAACTTTTTTTAGTAAGTCCACCGAGTCTTTATGGGGGTTTATTCATTAGCTATTAATTATTAGGGCTTAGACGAAATTTCACCAACTACGCAAACATTAGAACAGAGATAATTTAATTGGTATGCAATATTATAACAGTTAAAGTATAACAGCATCAAATCGTCTCGTCATGTCTCTATTAAGGCAGTCCAACAGATCATAGAAGACTTTTTGCTTGAACTGAGCCTTAGAATTTGATTACATTATTTATTTTATTTTTCAGTAAATTCAACGGATGAATTCAACCGATTGCATATACGTTTTAATACCCTTCACATCTAAGCTTTTTTCAGCGTTCAGATTCAATATTTCAGTAACCTCAAAGAATCTTTTAAGATCAGCAAGATACGATTCTAAATAGCAGACCAATGAGTTTGGAACATCCAAAAATGATTATTCTAATTGGTTCAGCCGTTCTCGAGTTTTGGAGCCTCTTACAATCGAACATAACATATACATATGTAACGTCGTTTTAAAGCTAAAGAAACAGGCTTAATATTTCTTATATGTATGTATGTATATATATAAGATGCTCATGATCATATATGTAATACTTCTATATTGGCAGTAAGCTAACTTCTCAATGTGTAGGCATTCCGAAATCAAAGCGAGATAGTCTAGTACCGTTTTTGTCAGTGTATTGTGTACTTGAGTGCCGTTTTTGTATATGTGTTGTGTACATTTTGAAGTGGATTTACATAGCGAAGACCAGTAAATTAGGGATTAAAGGTCATTCCGTAATCCTTTTTAATTCTCTATGTTTTAAACTATTTTTTTTGCAATAATGTAAATTTTATTCCGATAGAATAGAAATAAATAATATTTGTATGCCAAGATTTTTATTTAAGGCGACCAGCCCATAGAAATGGGCGTGGCAATTTTATCGGAGAATACCTTGCAGAATACCTTGAAGTCTTACAAATCTAACAACCATTACGACTTAATGACATTCTTTTTTTTAACTTACCATTTAGCAACAATTGCCACATTTTATTAATTGATTGATTTTTCCTATAGGAATGGACTAAACTTGCGCTTTTATATGCAAAATAAATAATTTATTTTTAATAAGCATACATATATCTCATTTCGGAATATTTTCAAAAGTTAGTAGTAAATTTTATTATTAAGTTATGATTATTCGAAGCGTACTCTTCCATCTGTTTTCTTTTCTGTCTCCGCTTGTAATTTAAATTGTATTAGTATAACAACGTAAGTTGTGATCGTTAGAATGATCTAAGCAAATAATAATGTATACATTTGTTATTTGTACAGTTGTTAAAACCGCTTGCTTACCGCTCCGAAATTCTTCAGGTTTATTTCAAAGAATCCTCCACATGTGAATAACATTTGCTGATGCATTAGTTGAAGGGAATATTCCTGCAAACGCATGCTTAAAGACTCATCAATACCCACGGTTTTCAGTTTGTGCAACATTGTACCAAAATGGTTGTACTTTTTTGAGGAGATTAAAAAATATTATATCAAAAATGTATCGTAAAAGTCTGTAGTTGTTTATAAAAAAATCAGTGAATAATATGCAGTGAATAAAAATAGTTTTTAATCTATTGCCGAAGTTTTCATATTTCCACCAAAAATTTCAAACTTTTTATTCAGAGTTTTTAGAAAAAATTTGGGTATGCAGTTTTATGGCCCATTAAATATAAGTGCACATTTCCAGCTACTAGAAAATCGCATTGACTTAATATTTTTTTTGTTTTGCTGACGGTGCTAGGCTTATTCTTCCATATAAAAAAAAATTGTTCCAAAAGTCCGATTTTGCTCAAACAAATTTAAAAAAATTAAAAATTACAATTCCTTTAATCTGTTCATATAACGTTTTTCTATATAATCAACAGTTTTAAAAAAACTTAATATTTTAGGCAAAAAATATTTTTTTTCTTCATACATTTATTTTTTACCGGCAAAACTGTTGATTATATAAAAAAAACGTTATATGAACAGATTAAAGGAATTTTAATTTTTAATTTTTTTAAATTTGTTTGAGCCAAATCGGACTAGTGGTTCTCGAGTTATGTCAAAAAAAGACCACCAAAGGTGACAATTTTCCCTATATGATAGTTATATATATATCTCGATTCCTAGACGTGACCCAGCGAAACGCCGGGACACGTATAACTTGTTTTTGACCGATATAACATTTCCCGTTGGTTTCATCCCATCCCGATTTTGACTGTCGCATAGTGTTATTTACTCCTCAATATCGAGCAGGTTTTGAAAGTGCAACATCATTTCATTAATTAAAGGCTTCAATAAAAAGGCAGTTTAAATACTCGATAAAGGAACAAAAATAGGATATTGGATGTTGGCTATAGCCGCTACGTAAGGCTGTCATCCGTTTGAGTAACTCAGGCTTGCCATGGCAGGTTTTCTGTTAGGTTCAACACAAGGGTGTATTCGAGCTTCAATAAATGCGGCGGTATTATTTCTTATGAAAAAGCATCCCGTTCTATGCGAAAATTTTGGCGACTATGTCTGCGTCACGCGTTTGAGGAGCAACATTTTGCCAATCCGTTGCTCATCACAAACTAATAAAATGCAATATACAAAATTTGTCTGGGCAATTTCTGCAACATTTCTGTAGATTGTCGGTTGAGCATCAAACACAGAGCTTCAAGAATGTAAAAAGGTTGAAATATAGCGGTAATCGCACAGAAATCGAAAAGTATGTAAAGGAAACTTTAATTACAGGTAACAAAAATGTGTTTACCAATGAAAAATAGACCTGTCAAGGCCAATACAGAGTTTATTTTATTATAAACCAGGGCCGCCAAGAGAAAATGCTCCATCACAACAGGATTTTTCCTAACCTCAAAAAACTTGGCGGATATTAGCTGTGATCCAATACTTTTCGTGTAAAATCATGTAAAACTGTCAAACAGCAAAATTACTCTCTGAAGTGAGAGTAAAAAGTGAGTAACAACAAAAAGTACGGGATACGATAAAAAAAGCATTTTTCCTGTAAAATCGTCAACCATTGACCGCTTGACACTGCTCATGATTTACCAGAAGTAAAAGTTCAGGTAAAATCTTGCAACTTCATACTCTACACAGCTCTCCAAAAATCGCGACTTTGAAATTTTAAAGATATGATTAACTCAAAAAACTATTTAAAAAAAAATCATTGCAATGTAGAATAGCAATATGATTTACATTTATCTATTGGAAATGTGCTTTTAA